ACTGAGGGACAGTTGTGTTTTTTGCACACAGCTCACTCCCAGGAAGAAGAAAGGGAAAGCTTGGACTGACCCGCCTAGTATTTTCCCCAAATTTGCCAACCGGGTTGAACCCTCTCCTTCCTCTCCCAGCCACCACAGAAAGTGAGTGAGAGAGAGAGAGAGAGAGAGAGAGAGAGAGAGAGAGAGAGAGAGACCAGGGTGCCCCACTCCACATCGGGAGAATCACCAAGGAGGGTGAAAAGGTTCAGTTACCTATATTGAAAGGAAGTCTGGTGAAAACGGACGAAAAGAACGGTCACAATTTACTGTATATGCTCCTGTTTAAAGCTAATTTTTACAAAGACCCTGTGTTCATATACAATTTGTATAGTTAAAAAAAGAAAGAAAAAGAAACCTACCACTTCTGTGTAGGATGGAGTAGCCGACAGCAAATCTGAGGTCCTGCCAAGAAAAACCGGAAAGTCTAGATTACGGTAATTTAAAAAGAAAAAATGTGTTAAACGCATCAGAGGGCTGGGTGAAGCAATAAGGATTAGAAGGGGCCCCCTCCGGAGAAGGGAGGACCCGGGGGCTCCTCATCCTGCTAGTGGGCAGAGGAAAAGTCACTTCCTGGGATGACCCCATCTAAGGCCAGCTCACCTCTTTTATTCTTTGTCACAACTGTCCCAGGGCATGCACTGCGATTTGTCATTAAATGTCAACTTCACTGCATTTTCATTTGTCTCTCTGTGTATCCAATAACCTTCGCGTGGGCAGGAAGAGACAGTCTATCTTGCTCATTGTTGCATTCCCAGGCTGGTATACAGTAGATGCCTAGTAAATATTTCTTGGGTTGGATTGCATTAAATGGAATGGAACGTGAACAGTGAATGCTTTCCAGCTCTTTCAGATTTCCTGGATTCTAGAGGCAGGCCCCCTTTCTCCCCAGAGGCTCTGTTCCCTTAAGGCTTTGTCAATAGGCCCAAACCCAAGTTTCTTTCTGATAGAATGGCATCCTCAGCCTCTTGCTTTAATACCTCCAGGGCTTGGAAGTGGGTGGGGTTTCAAGCCTTATCTCCAATCCTGTAAACTCCCAGGCCACACCCAAACTAGCACCTCCAGGCCCTTCTCTCCCTAACTACAGAATGCCTTGCAGCTGTAACAGCAGAAGTCCAAGAACGCCTGTTCTGAGGGCCTACCTGGCATCCAGTTTCTGTTAAACTCAAACCATTTCCCGATCTCTCCAAAGCCCTGCAGGTTCCTTGAATCCATATGCTCTCAAACCCCGGCCCCCAGATTCTAAAACCAGGCCTGCCTGCCCTGTCTCATTGCCAGGCCTCTGGGCCTACCTTCCCCATTCTCACTGGACCCCAGACATCCATTCCCCCTGGAGGTCCCACCCAGGGGGAGCCCACACTCCCTGAGTAAAGACCTCACAGAGAGAAAAAAATCTAAATGATGCCCAGCTAAGCCTGCAGTTGCTGGGTACTTTCAAAATGTCTTTCTAAGTGCAGCTTGGCATTCTTAAAACTTTATTCTTGTGGATTTGAAGTATTTTATTTTCCTTTCCAGGTATAAAAAGCCCAAGACTGAAGCCAGGAAAACTGAATTCTGGTCCCGGTTCTGTTGCCATGTGGTCTCGGACTACCCGTTTTCTGGTGGAACCCTGGCTCATTTGCTTTGGGGATTGGTTTTCTTGTAAGCGCCCAGAGGCTGCCAGGCTCAGGGAAACCTACATACATGGTCCACGTTGAAATAAGGGTCTAAAGCCTTGATGTAGGCACGAAAGTGTGTGGGCAGCATGTAGCCCTACAAGCGGGCATTGACTTTCAGTGGGCCAATGGGTCAAGGTTTATCCAGCCCCAAGAGGGCCCTGGTCCCAGCCAGATCAGAGAAAGCCCTTTAAGCTTGTGGATTACCCTTTCTTACACTGCTAATAAAGACACACCAATTTACAAAACAGACTGGGCAATTTAAAAAGAAAGAGGTGTAATGGACTTACAGTTGCAGGTGGCTAGGGAGGCCTCACGAGCATGGTGGAAGGTGAAAGGCACTTCTCACATGACAGCAGCAAGAGTAGATGAGGAAGAAATGAATGAGGAAACCCCTTAAAAAACCATCTGATCTCATGAGACTTATCCATCACCACGAGAAAAGTATGGGGTAACTGCCCCAATGATTCAATGACCTCCCACCAGGTCCCTCCCACAACACATGGGAATTATAGAAGTACAGTTCAAGATGAGATTTGGGTGGGGACACAGCCAAACCATATCAGCCTGTTAGGCCTCTCCAGAACTGAGGAACAATTTTTTTTTTTTTAAACCACTTTGGGACTTATAGAGGCTTCCTGTGTGCCAGGTCTGTTCTAAGCACTTCACACCTGATGGCCCATTTCATCCTCATGACAAACCTCTGGAGTAGATGTACTGTCCCCCCAAGAGCTCCAAAATATGAGGCCTTGGGAGGGTAAAGCATTCATTCAAGATGAACGGCTCCTACAGCAAGGGGCAATCTGTCTCCGTGGTCCCTGTTCTTACCCACAGTGCTGGTGATTTTTCTACAGGCCGCGGAAGAGCCCCCTCATTCTTGGTTGGGTTTCCTGGTCACTTGATTCCAGGTGGACAGTACTAAATTTGGGCATGCCTCTCACTGCAATTTAGTCTCACCTTTGTCTCATGGTTTGGTTCCTCGGGAGAACCCTAACTAACACAGCACCTACAGGGTGTTCTGTAAATATACATGTTTCATAAATGCACGGATTTGATTTTGGTCTTTCGAGTCTCCATGGGCATCAGTCTACAGCTCATCTTCGGGGTGGGTTATACCTGCAAATAGCCTGTCTCATCACCTGCTTTCTTCCTAGTTTCTCAGTGAGTATCATTCTCCTGACCTCTTTTTTCCAGAATCCGGAAGCAATTTTCCAAAGCCCACTTCCTCAAGGAGGCTCTTACCCAGAATGGTATATACCCAAAAGGAGTCTTTCCTTTCCTTGTACCCTTATCAAATCTCTCCAGTCTTTCAAGGGTAAACTGATAAACAGCTCTTCAGTTTCTTTATTTGTGTCATTCCATTTAATGGTTCATTTTATTTTATTTTATTTTTTGAGACAAGATCTAGCTCTGTCACCCAGGCTGGAGTGCTGTGGTGCAATCTCAGCTCACTGCAACCTCTGCCTCCGGGGCTCAAACCATCCTCCCACCTCAGCCTTCCGAGCAGCTGGGATACAGGCGCATACCACCATGCTCAGCTAATTTTTGTATTTTTCGTAGAGACAGAATCTCGCCATGTTACCCAGGCTGGTCTCCAACTCAGGAGTTCATGTGATCTGCCCGCCTCAGCCTTCCAAAGTGCTGGGATTGCAGGTGTGAGCCACCATATCTGGCCTTCACAGTCCATTTTGAACTTCAACTTGGAAATGGGAATCTCAAGCCAAATGGGGTTAGATGCTTTTAGTTAAGACCCTCAAAGGAGATAAGGAAGTCCAAGACATTCTCCAGATGGAGTTGCAAGCTGAGAGAACTGTGGAGACTCACAAAGGTGCTGGATCCCCACAGGAACTTTTATTTGTGTGCAGATTTGCCTGTGACCTTCTTGTGGGCCGACATCCTCCCCATTGTCACTGCAGTTGAGCCAGGACCCAGCCCAGTGCCTGGTCAGGAGAAGCTCTATTAGTGCTTATGAACTATGTTAAATTGGAACTTTCAACCAATTCAATAAGGTCACAATGGGTTGGCTCCTAGTAAGCTGCTCAGTAAGTATTTCTTCAGGTGACGTGGGCAAGTGAAAGGCAGTAAGGCCCAGTGATTTCAGATCCAGAGTTTGGGACTCAGAACTAGATAATCCTGAGGTCAAATCCCAGCCTTGCTCACTTCTTTCTGTGTGCCCTGAGCCTCTCCCTTGTAGAGAACCTATTTCACAGTGTTGCTATGAAAACGACATGAGGCTGGGTGCGGTGGCTCACCTGTCATCCCAGCACTTCAGGAGGCTGAGGCAGGTGGATCACGAGGTCAGGAGTTTGAGACCAGCCTGACCAACATGGTGAAACCCTGTCTCTATTAAAAATACAAAAATTAGCCAGGCATGGTGGCAGGCACCTGTAATCCCAGCTACTCAGGAGGCTGAGGCAGGAGAATCGCTTGAACCTGGAAGGTGGAGGTTGCAGTGAGCCGAGAGATTGCGCCATTGCACTCCAGCCTGGACGACAGAGCGAGACTTCCTCTAAAAAGAGAAGAAAAGAAAATGACATGAGATCCTGCATGTGAAATTTATCATAGTATTGCTCGGACTTAGTCAGTACTACCTTGGGCCAGGAACCCTTCCACGGCTTTCTCATCTAATCCTCTTGCAATCCAAAGAGGAGGGCACTCTGAACTGCCCCACTTCTTACAGATTAAGAAGTTGACGGGCGCGGTGGCTCAAGCCTGTAATCCCAGCACTTTGGGAGGCCGAGGCGGGTGGATCACGAGGTCAAGAGATCGAGACCATCCTGGTCAACATGGTGAAACCCCGTCTCTACTAAAAATAGAAAAAAAAATTAGCTGGGCATGGTGGCGCGTGCCTGTAATCCCAGCTACTCAGGAGGCTGAGGCAGGAGAATTGCCTGAACCCAGGAGGTGGAGGTTGCAGTGAGCCGAGATTGCACCATTGCACTCCAGCCTGGGTAACAAGAGCAAAACTCCGTCTCAAAAAAAAAAAAAAAAAAAAAAAAAAGAAGAAGAAGTTGAGGAACAAGGGCCGGAGTTACTACAGAAGTAGTAACTCAGGCCCTTGTTCTCCAAGGTCACAAAGGTAGTGACAGTGGGTATAGAATGCAAGTGCAGCATCTGGTCTTAACCATTAAGGGAGAGCTATGAAGTCCCACGTGTGGACGGTAAGTACTCAGTACAAGTACACTGCTGAGTACTTTTACTGAGTACTTCTCAGTAAGTACTGAGTACTTGCTCAGGAAAAACAACTGCTGCTGCTGTTGTGTTGGACAGCTGGGGAAAGTGAGGGGCAGAGAACCTGAGTCCCCAAAACTACTCCATAACACAGTTAGAACCTTGGGCTCCAACATTCGGACCTGAGACACCAAGCCCTGTTGCTTGTTTCTTAACTGCTTTCTCCAAGGCCTGTGCTGGGCAGCCACACCCAGGGTTCTCACCACACCCTGGAGTTCTTGCCACCCAGAAGTTCTTGCCACACCCTGCCTGCTCCCGGAAGGTAAGAGGGCCACTGAAGAAGGGCTGCATTGTTGTGGCCTTGGCCCTGGCCCTGAAGGCCAGGAGGACAAACACTGGCTTAGAAGTACTGCAAATCAGTAAACAGTAAAAGTCAGAATAAAGGTTCTCTTGAACTCCAACTACCCTCAACTCCAAGCTGACTAGTCCCGAGGACAAATACCCAGGAACCTGATTCCAGGAGAGATTGCTGCCTTGCAAGAGGGCATTTGCCTCTGGGGGAGGTGGGGACAGGGGTATCGAGTTCTGGGGAAGAAGACAGGAAGTTTTCCCAGAGCAGAAAAAACTGCGGAGGACTCAGTAAAGTTGACAATAGCAGGAGATTTCCTTTTTCCCCTGGAGTCCTGGCCTGCATGAATAGGTGGCATCAGAACAGCTAAGATTCAGTGAGTCCTTCCTGCACAGACCATGCACTGCGCTTGGGACCACGTGCATTCATTCACTGAATGCGTTCAACAACCCTATGGCATGGGTTTTATTATGTTCAGTTTGCAGGTGCGAAAACCATGGTACAAAGAAAGTAAATCACCTGCCCAGGGGCTGCTCAGCCCCCAGGAGGCAGATCCAGAGTCTGAACCCAAGCGATCTTCTATGGCCCTTCCCTGCCTGCTGGTCGTGGGGTATTTCTATGGTCCTGCTCATTTAATTTGGAATCTGATGGCATATGCCAAAGTATATACAGAAGGGGCATCACTTTGGAGGATACGTGTGGCTACTGTAACAAAATACCTTAAACTGGGTGCCTTATAAATAACAGAAATTCACATCTCACAGTTCTGGAGGCTGGAAATCCAAGATCAAGGCACAGGCAGAGCTGGCATCTGGTGAGGTTCTGCCCTTTAGTTCATAGATGGTGCCTTCTCACCGTGTCCTCCCAAAGTGGAAGGGGTGGAGCTCTCTTTTGGGCATCTTTGATAAGGCACTGCTCCCATTCAGGAAGCCTCTGCCTTCATGACCTGATCGTCTCCCAAAGACCCAGCTCCTAATACATCACCTTAGGGGGTTGGATTTCCACAACTGGATTTTAGGGAAACACAAACATTCAGACCATAGCAGAGGGGCTGAGAGACCCCTGAAGCCTGCTAGGGCTCCTGAGAGCAGCTGACAAATGTATAGGATTTTGAAAAAACTTTTAAAGTCTCAGGGCAATCAACTTTGTTCCTGCTCTGAGTCTGAGAGGTCCCCATTAAAAGTTAGCCCCTCACTCAGTCTTTTTTTTAAAAATTTTGAGACAGGGTTTCACTCTGTAGCCCAGGCTAGAGTGTGGCACAATCACAGCTCACTGCAGCCTCCACCTCCCAGACTCAAGCAATCCTCCCACCTCAGCCACCATGCTTGGCTAATTTTTGTGTTTTTTGTAGGGACAGGGTTTTGCCATGTTGCCCGGGCTGGTCTGGAACTCCTGGGCTCAAGCAGTCCACTCACACGGACTTCCCAAAGTGCTGGGATTACAGGCCTGAGCCCCTCACTCAGTCTTTATAGCAGAGCTCAAAAGGGTGGAAGGAGCGCTTCGCAGAGCTGTTCTCCTCCTCCCACTACCATGAGAGGTATAAATTATACCAAACCTCATCTCCTGCAATCTCTGCCTCGGGTGCAGGTTGAGATTTGGTCTTCAGGGAGTCTTCCTCTGAGCTAATTTCTTGCAAAGGATGTGACAAAGATCACTAGAGAGAGAACACCTCAGCACGCGTTCCAAAGGGCTCGTGCGGTGAGTTCAGCACCAGCCCCATCACCGCGCAGACCAGATGAGAGGACTCATGCCTAGGAGGCCACCCCACGAGCAGGGCTATTTTAATAGAATGTCTTCGGGGTGTGGTGAGAAACACCCGGGTCTGGGAGTGTTTGTGGTTCATCTGGAATCAGGCAGCGCTGTTATAAGATTGGCGCCTATATGAGCTTCCTGGGTTTCTGCTCATCGGTGCCCATTGCAGTTCCTGCAGGAAGGGTACTGGGTCATTCCCTTGGTTATGTCCACGTACGGGATCATTCCTTTGATCAGTACACTGCAAATACTTCAAGAATGCTAGAGACAGTTTTAAGATCAGAGCCTTTCCCACAAAAGGTCAGGAGTTCCGGTTCTCAATAAGCGGAGGTATTTGTGGTTAAAGAGCAAGCCCAGAAAATGTGGGCTGTGGGCGCCCCCTGCTGGAGAGCGAGGCCCAAGCACGTGGGGCTTCTAGGGCTGGGACCCTCTGAGGGTTCTTCCAGCACCTCCTCGCGGCTCAGAGGGCTGTTCTTCCCGTCCTTCCAGGACTGCCTTGCATGAGAGCAGAGCTGCTAAGGGTAATGTGGCTTAGTCTTCAAGAGGGTGGACTCTAGAGCCAGATTACTAGGGCTCAATCCTGCCCCTGCCACTGCTGTGTAACTTTCGGCAGGTCATTAAACCTCTCTGTACCCGACCATCCTCATCTGCAAAGCAGGGATGATCGTATTAGAGCCTACCTCACAGAGTACTTACGAGACATAAACAAGGTAACATCTCAAACACTGAGGCACAAATGAGGCAACGTAGCAAAACACTTAAAATAGTGTCTGGCATGGCCAGGCGCGGTGGCTCAAGCCTGTAATCCCAGCACTTTGGGAGGCCAAGGCCGGGGGATCAGGAGGTCAGGAGATGGAGACCATCCTGGCCAACATGGTGAAATCCTATCTCGACTAAAAATACAAAAATTAGCTAGGTGTGGTGACGTGTGCCTGTAGTCCCAGACACTGGGGAGGCTGAGGCAGGAGAATCGCTTGAACGTGGGAGGCGAAGGTTGCAGTGAGCCGAGATAGTGCCACTGCACTCCAGCCTGGCAGAGTGCAGTGATAAAGCTAGACTCCGTCTCAAAAAAAAAAAAAAAAAAAAAAAAAAAAAAAAAATCTTTCTCAAAGAAAAAATGTAGGCCAAGTACAGTGGCCATGTCTGTAATCCTGGCACTTTGAGAGGCTAAGATGGGAGATCACTTGAGGCCAGAAGTTTGAGACCAGCCTGAGCAACCTAGCAAGACCACCTCTCTGGAAAAAAAAAAAAAAGTAAAACTTGACACATGCCTGTGGTCCCAGCTACTTGGGAGGCTGAGGTGTGAAGATCACTTGAATTCAGGAGTTTGCAGCTACAAACTGTGATTGCACCACATCACTGCAGTTTGGGCAACAGAGCGAAACACTGTCAATAATGTTTCAATAAATAAATAAATAAATTTTAATTAAAAAGAAAAGAAAAATAGGTAGAATAACTTTCATATCAGCCAGGTACTTTCAAAGTTTGTTGGGCCTGTTGGTTGTCTCAGATAGCAAAATCATCTATAGACTGCCTTTTGTTTTTGCTTTTGGGAAAATTTAATAAACTTTGGTTTCTGAGGTGGCAAAATGTAACCTCAATTTAACAATTTGTTTTCTAGAAAATTTGGAGATTATACATATGTCTATTCACGTGTATGCATATATCGTATGTATATATACACATATGTGTATTTATGCAAACATGTATGCATCTATATTCCATTTTAGACATTTGGCATATACTTACAAAGATACATAAACATATATATTGTGAGGGTGTTTAAGACTATATAGGCCAGGCACAGTGTCTCCCACTTGTAACCTCACACTTTGGGAGGCCAAGGCAGGTAGATTACTTAAGATCAGGAGTTTGAGACCAGGCTGGCCAACATGGTGAAACACCATCTCTACTAAAAATGCAAAAAAAATTAGCAGGACATAATGGCACGCACCTGCAGTCCCAGGTATTTGGGAGGCTGAGGCACAAAACCTGCCTGAACCTGGGAGGCAGAGGTTACAGTGAGCTGAGATCACACTACTATACTCTAGACTGAGCGGCAGAGTGAGACTGTCTAAAAAACAAAAACAACGACAAAAGACTATAAATACACATACATACAGAATGCCTTATAAATGTTTATGCCCTTTGAGTGGAACACTGGTGGTTGTGGGGAGGAAGGCACACATGGAATAGGTATCAATAGCCATAGGGTTCCCTGGGGACAATATTCTCAAGAAATTTGGAATGTCAGCAGGGCACAGTTTAGAAAGGAGGTGGTGGTGATGGTGATGGTGGTGGAGGTGGAGGTGGTGGTGGTGATGGTGATGGTGATGGTGGTGGAGGTGATGGTGATGGTGATGGTGGTTAAGGTAGTGGAGGTGGTGGTGGTGATGGTGGTGGAGGTGGTAGTGGTGGTAGAGGTGGTGGTGGTGATGGTGATGGTAGTAGAGGTGGTGGTGGTGGTGATGGTGGTGGAGGTAGTGGTGGTGGTGGTGGTGGTGGTGGTGGTGTGATGGTGGTGGTGGAGGCGATAGTGGTGGTGGTGATGATGGTGGAGATGGTGGAGGTGGTTGTGGTGGTGGTGGTGGAGGTGGAGGTGGTGGTGGTGATGGTGGTGGAGGTGATGGTGATGGTGATGGTGGTTGAGGTGGTAGAGGTGGTAGTGGTGATGGTGGTGGAGGTGGTAGTGGTGGTAGAGGTGGTGGTGGTGATGGTGATGGTGGTAAAGGTGGTGGTGGTGGTGGAGGTAGTGGTGGTGGTGTGATGGTGGTGGTGGAGGTGGTGGTGGTGGTAGTGATGGTTGTGGAGATGGTGGAGGTGGTTGTGGTGGTGGTGGTGGTGAAGGTGGAGGTGGAGGTGGTGGTGGTGATGGTGATGGTGGTGGAGGTGACGGTGATGGTGGTAGAGGTGGTGGAGGTGGTGGTGGTGATGGTGGTGGTGGTAGAGGTGGCAGTGGTGATGGTGATGGTGGTGGAGGTAGAGGTGGAGGTGGTGGTGGTGATGGTGATGGTGGTGGAGGTGGTGGTGATGGTGATGGTGGTAGAGGTTGTGGTGGTGGTGGTGATGATGGTGGTGGAGGTACTGGTGGTGGTGGTGATGGTGATGGTGGTGGTGATGGTGGTAGAGGTGGTGGTGGTGGTGGTGATGGTGGTAGAAGTGGTGATGGTGGTGGAGGTGGTGATGATGGTGGTAGAGGTGGTGGTGATGGTGTTGGTGGTGCTGTTGATAATGGTAGAGGTTGTGGTGATGGTGGTGGAGGTGGAGGTGGTGGTGGTGATGGTGGTGGTGGTAGAGGTGGCAGTGGTGATGGTGGTGGAGGGGGAGGTGGTGGTGGTGATGGTGATGGTGGTGGAGGTGGAGGTTGTGGTGATGGTGGTGGTAGAGGTTGTGGTGGTGGTGGTGGTGATGGTGGTGGAGGTGGTGGTGATGGTGATAGAGGTGGTGGTGATGGTGGTGGTGGTGGTGATGGTGGTAAAAGTGGTGGTGACGGTGGTGTAGGTGGTGATGATAGTGGTAGAGGTGGTGGTGATGGTGGTGGTGGTGCTGTTGATAGTGGTAGAGGTTGTGGTGATGGTAGTGGAGGTGGAGGTGGTGGTGGTGATGGTGGTGGTGGTGGAGGTGGAAGTGGAGGTGGTGGTGGTGATGGTGGTGGTGGTGGAGGTGGTGATGGTGGTAGAGGTGGTAGTAATGGTGGTGGAGGTGGTGGTGATGGTGGTAGAGGTGGTGGTAATGGTGGTGGTGGTGGTGTTGATAGTGGTAGAGGTTGTGGTGATGGAGGTGGAGGTTGTGGTGGTGATGGTGGTAGAGGTGGTGGTAATGGTGGTGGAGGTGGTGGTGATGGTGGTAGAGGTGGTGGTGATGGTGGTGGTGGTGGTGGTGGTGTTGATAGTGGTAGAGGTTGTGGTGATGGAGGAGGAGGTGGTGGTGGTAATGGTGGTTGTGATGGTTATGGAGGTAGTGGTGATGGTGATGGTCGTGGTGATGGTGGTAGAGGTAGTGGTGGTAGTGGTGATGGTGGTGATGGTGGTAGAGGTGGTGGAGGTGGTGGTGGTGGAGGTGGTGGAGGTGGCAGTGGTGGTGGTGCTGGTGGTGTTGGTAGAGGTGGTGGTAATGGTTGTGGAGGTGGTGGTGATGGTGGTAGAGGTGGTGGTGATGGTGGTGGTGGTGGTGGTGTTGGTAGTGGTAGAGGTTGTGGTGATGGAGGTGGAAGTGGTGGTGGTGATGGTAGAGGTGGTGGTGGTAGTGGTGATGGTAGAGGTGGAAGTGGAGGTGGAGATGGTGGTGGTAATGGTGGTTGTGATGGTGATGGAGGTGGTGGTGATGGTGGTGGTGGTGGTGGTGTTGATAGTGGTAGAGGTTGTGGTGATAGAGGTGGAGGTGGTGGTGGTAATGGTGGTTGTGATGGTGATGGAGGTGGTGGTGATGGTGATGGTGGTGGTGATGGTGGTAGAGGTGGTGGAGGTGGTGGAGGTGGTGGTGGTGGAGGTGGCGGAGGTGGCAGTGGTGGTGGTGGTGGTGATGGTGGTAGAGGTGGTGGTAATGGTGGTGGAGGTGGTGGTGATGGTGGTAGAGGTGGTGGTGATGGTGGTGGTGGTGTTGATAGTGGTAGAGGTTGTAGTGATGGAGGTGGAGGTGGTGGTGGTGATGGTAGAGGTGGAGGTGGAGGTGGAGATGGTGGTGGTAATTGTGGTTGTGATGGTGATGGAGGTGGTGGTGATGGTGATGGTGGTGGTGATGGTGGTAGAGGTGGTGGTGGTAGTGGTGATGGTGGAGGTGGTGGTGGTGGAGGTGGTGGAGGTGGTGGTGGTGGTGGTGGTGATGGTGGTGGAGGTGGTGGTGGTGGTAGCGGTGGTGGTGGTGATGGTGGTGATGGTGGTGGTGGTAAAGGTGGTGGTAGAGGTAGTGGTAGTGGTGGTGGTAGTGATGGTGGTGGAGTTGGTGATGGTAGAGATGGTGGTGGAGGTGGTAGAGGTGGCGGTGGTGATGGTGGTGATGGTGGTGGTGGTAGAGGTGGTGGTGGTGATGGTGGTGATGGTGGTGGTGATGGTGGTGGTGGTGGAGGTGGTAGTGGTGGTGATGATGGTAGAGGTGGTGGTGGTGATAATGGTGGTAGAGGTGGAGGTGGTGGTGGTGATGGTGATGATGGTAGAGGTGGAGGTAGTGGTGGTCATGGTGGTAGAGGTGGAGGTGGTGGTGGTGATGGTCATGGTGGTAGAGGTGGTGGTGGTGCTGGTGGTGATGATGGTGATGGTGGTAGAGGTGGTGGCAGTGATGACGGTGGTAGGGGTGGAGGTGGTGATGGTGATGGTGGTGGAGGTGGAGGTGGTGATGGTGATAGTGATGGAGGTGGTGGTGGTGGTGGTGGTGATGATGATGGTGAAGGTGGTAGAGGTGGTAGTGGTGGTCATATATCTGTATGATGCAGCAGGCAGTAGAAGATCCCAAAAAGTTGATTTCAAGAGTAGCTGGTGGTTGTGGTAGAACTAGCTTTGCCATTCTTTTGCCAGAAAAATCTTGTGCTTGGCATCACTACTTGTGGCACGTCTCTTCCGAGGCCTGGACTACATGCCCTCTCTGAGCCTCCATAGCACTCTGTACCACTCACTCCTACCATAGGGTCTGTCACTCTCTTCTCCGATCTCTCAGTAGAATGGAAACTTGATGAGAGTGAGGAGAGCTTTTCCTTTTCACTCCTCCATCTTCGCCCTCAGCACATTGCCTGGCACAGAGTTGGCATGCTGTAAACATTTGTTGCATGGATGAATGGATAAGCAGACAGATGGACACATGCATGAAAGAACAAACAAATGAATAAGTGAGTAAACAAATAAAAGAGAATCAGAGGGTGCAAGCCTGGAACCAGGAACTATCCCTACCTGAGGAATTCCAGAGAGCAAGAGCAAGAGCAGGGAATTTACCATCTGCTGGGGTTTGCCTCCTGGTAGAATGATGGATCAGTGGCAACAGCATTTTACCATAGCCCAAGGACATAAACCTTCCTGAGTCAGGAAGCCTCTTTTCTGAGACTGAAGAACCTCCTAGCTGAGAAGATATTTCTCCAAGGCTGCCCTAGCCAGAGGGGAAGTCATCTTGGATGAAATGACGCTATGGTAGTTAAAGAACACAATGCTACCCACACCTACTCCCTGCAGTGACGGCATCCATCTTCCTCTAGAGTTCAATGCTTACTTTGGCCTTGCGGAGTAGGCATGAGTATTCTATAAAGAAGAAGACTGCACCCAAAGACAGAGTGGCTGGCTAGTAAGCAGCAGAGCCAGAATTCAAACCAGCTCTTTTGGCTCCAGTATTCCCTGTAGCTACCTGGGAAAGCAGCACTGATGAAAAAAGGAAGAAATTCTGTTGGTTAGAGTACCGCTCACTGCTGTAGCAAACTCTGGAATTTGTAATTGCTTCAACAATAGACATGTATTTCTCTCTCACGTAAAGTCTCGAATGGGATTCCTGGTGAGTGATGGGCCTTCTCCAAGAAGAGATTCAGGATCCTGTGCTGCTTCTATCCTGAGGTCCCATCAACCTCAACCTGTGACTTCAAGCTGCCATGCCCAACTGCCTCAAGCTGGCAACAGGGAAGAGCGTGAGGGAATGGGAGGTTTTGTGGATCCGACGCAGAAGTGGCACACATCACTTCTAATCTCCCTTTGGCTGGAACTCAATTACATGGCCAGTGCTTACCAGTGATGTAACTTCAAGGTAGGCTGCAAAATATAGAGCAGCTCTGTGCCAGGAAAAAGGCGGCAGTGAATTTCGTGAAGCTAGGCAGTCTCCACCACAACCCATATCCAACAATCAGGGCCAGCAGTGAGATTCCAGAACAGCAAAAGCCCAGCTCAGCCCTCCACTAGGGTACAGTAACCCTGTAGGCAAGAAACTGAACTTTGAAGCCCTATCTGGGGCTGCACATGTACCCCAAACCTTGTTTATTTTATCCCCTTCTTTGGGGAACTGTTCCTCTCGAACTTCAATAATGCCAATCCGAGTATCCCTAGACCCCTAGCTAGAGGTAAGCATATGGCTCAGGTTTCAGGGTTGGCATTCAGGGGTTGGTTTAGGGAAGGTCATGTGATCCAAGAAGAGCCTGTTGGCATGCTTCCCTAACCTATCAAGAAGGCTTTGCTCTTAACTGTCTGGTTACAAGGCTGCAAGAATGGAAGTGGGGAATGGTCTGACATCAAGCCTGCACCTTCAATGGAGAAAGCCAGAAGAAAGAAGACAGCCTGCAGAAAAGAGCAGAGAAAGAGAGAGAGATAGAGAAATGACAGCATTCAAGTCCCTGGATCTTTAAGGCTAGTCTACTCCTCCTCTGCCCTTTTTATTTTTGTGAGACAGAATCTTGCTCTGTGCCCAGGTTGGAGTGCAGTGGCACAATCTCAGCTCACTGAAACCTCCGCCTCCTGAGTTCAAGCAATTCTTCTACCTCACCCTCCTGAGCAGCTGGGATAACAGGTGCACACCACCATGCCAGGCTAATTTTTGTACTTTTAATAGAAACAGGATTTCATCATGTTGGTCAGGCTGGCCTCGAACTCCTGACCTCAAGTGATCCTCCCACCTTGGCCTCCCAAAGTGCTGGGATTACTGGTGAGAACAACCACAGCTGGCCACCCCTGGATTTCTGTGGTTTGATTATATAACTCAATATATTCCCTCTTTGCTTAACCTAGTTCAAGTGGAGTTTCTGTCAGTTGCAATCCTAAGATTTATGAATTAACACATCCAACATGCCAGACAGACACCAAGGCACCGACAGAGATTCTAGCAGGTAGATGGGCTTCAACAACAAATCCGTCTCAACTCCCACAATGCTTTTGTCCAGTGTTAGCTCTGCTCACATGTATTCTCTCGCTCTCTTTCTCTCTCTCTCACAACACATACAAACCCTCTTGCACACTGGGTGTCCCCCTAAAATGATCCATTGAAGTTCTAACTCCCAGTAACTCAGAATGTCACCGTCTTTGGAAAAAAAGTCCATGACAGAGGTCCTCACGTTGAAATGAGGTCATTATGGTGGCCTTAATCTGGTATGACTTATGAAAGAGAGAAATTTAGACAGAAAGACACACACACACACAGGGAAGATGATGTGAAGAGACATCATGAGGGAAATGGACAATGCCACACGAAGACGAAGGCAGAGACTGGGATGACGTGTGTACAGGCAAGGAACACCAAAAATTGCCAACAAATCACTGGAAGCTAGGGGAGAGGGCTGGAACAGAGGCTCCCTCTTAGCCAACAGAAGGAAGGAACCAACCCCACTGACACCACGATCTCCGACTTCTCGGCCTCTGAACTTAAGATAATTAATGTTTATTTCTCACCCAATTCGTGGTTCTTCATTATGGCAGCCCTAAGAAACTAATACATACACTTAGTTTACTGTCAGATAACTGGGGGACTTTGCCAGTGTTATCGATTCTAAGAAGAAAAGCAGTAGCTATTGGTCTTTGTAAGCTCTCTGGAAAGGCCTTGAGAAATTTCACTTCTCTTGTCATACTGTATATGCACAGGTAAGTGTATGTATGTGTATATAAACGCTCTGTGTGGGAAAATGAATAGAGAAGAAGATTAAGGCAGTCCAGTATACAGATGGCGTGTGTGTGTGTGTGTGTTGGACATGGGGAAGAAGGTTTCCATAATACTGGTAATACTCATTTCCATTCATTATTATCTGCTTTATGTCATATATTATTCTTTGTAAATTATTTATTTTCTTTTTTCTTTTACAAGATCCTACAACCAGCATGTCAGATACTATTCTTGGACATAATAGAGACATGATTTCGTTTAGTTCCAGTAAGGAAGAGTGTGTCTTGATTTGAAGTCAGTTCATACCTGAATTTGAATCTCAGTTCTGCTGTTCATTAGCTATCTGCCCTTAGATTACTTAACTTCCATGAGCCCTATTTTCTCTATGGCATAATAATTTTCATTGCATGGAATTTCAGCAAAATCAATGCAATAATATATGTACGTTGGATGGCCTATTGGAAGCTCCCTAACAAATGTTTGATAGGTATCATTCATCTTCTGACTCCCCCTCTATGACAGGCACTTATAATTCCCATTTCACAAATGAGGAAACCAAGTCCCACCCAGCTAGTAAGTGACAAAGAACTCAATTAGATGCCAATCTCCCCGGTAGTTCCAAAGCCACGGTCTCTCTCCTACGCCATCCTCCTTGACAAGGAAAAGTTGGAAAGGGCAGTAACTTGTCAGTACAACGCACTCGTCTTAAGTGAATTTGAGTTCTGCATCTTTGAAATTGCTTAATACAGAACATTTATAAGGACTCATTTTGTACTCAAAATGAGAAATTGTGCCGATCTCCTGAATTACAATAAAATCAAGAATTGCTTGATGTCGAAGCTGCTCGGACAAGTGAATTGTAAACTGTGCCACTTCAGTTCTAAAACAGAAATTCTCCTTCCATTTGCGGCCATCTCATAAACTATGTATGCTGCTATGCTCAGAAGCTCCAGTGATGTTGGTGACAATTGAAATGTTATTATAATTTAAAATACTTTGTTCATATCTTATGGCCATGTCATGTGAGCATTCATAATGTGAGGGTGCAGAAAAGCCTCAGAAATGGTGCATTTATTCTGCACTTTAGATGTCATAAAAAGGCTCTGCAGAAGACCAGACAGCCATTATGATATGATACGCTTATAACTCAGCAGACCGATTTCTGCAAAATATAAGAGATCACGCCGAAGAAATGAAAAGCACCATTAAAAAGCAATTATGTACCAACTGGTGTAGATTTATGTGCACCAAAAATCTACTCTTCCATACTTTAAATGTATTAATGTGGGGAAAATTGCTTTGAGTTACATAAGTTTTGAATAATGCAGTCTTCAGGAATGTATCCATTGTATAAAATAAACTCATCCTGAAGATATTATCATTTACTCCTAGGGACTAAAATACCCAAAGCCTTTAGAAACTAAATTTCTCATGATAATTTGTAAATTGATAGTTTGACTTATACATCAGTCTCTAAGGAGCTTATCATGAGTTACCTCTGGGGTCATTGTG